TGATTTTTGTCATATTGTAAAAGTTCATATTTATCCAAAGTAGATCTTGAAGAAAAATATTTTTCCAAGTAGCTTACCAAAACGACTAACACTCTCAACTCCATCAATAATTGCTTTGTAATCCAAATTTTCTTCGATTCCAACCTGTTAAAGAAGAATGACACTCTAAAAATAGGATAAAATATTTGATAAATTGTTCAGTAAAAATATAAACATTAACGATTCCATTTTAAATACATGTATTCAAAAATAATGGGTTCCAAACACATTTTTTCATAGCAAAATAAAAACAAATAAAACCACAAAAGTCTTACATTTTCCACTAAGAAAAGTAAATTTTAAAATGTTAGGATTCAGAGTTACTGCTACATAATTATGATGCTTTGTATGTGCAAGTATGGAAATCTGTGTACTTAGTACACTTTGCTTCAGCTGTAAGAGACCCACCCAAGTAAGGAGTACAAGAGTCCCATTTTAAAAATACCAAACAAGTATCATCTTTTTTAAAAACATGATCACTAGTTATCATTCTACTTGTGAGCTCTTCTATTTGTTAGAATATATGTCTTGACATTTTGCATCAACATTTAATGTGACTAACAAAGGAATTAAGTTAGTGGTCAATCTTACCTCAAATAAAATGGATAAAGCTCTTATCTTCCCTTTTCCTTTAACTGCTTCTTCAAAGCTTGAAAATCGGTCTGCATCAAAGCAGTAGATTTGCATCTAGAAATGTAACAATGGTAGCTTTATGATATACAAAGACTTTACAAAAATCATCAAAGAGATGTGACAAAACAATTGACCAATTGAAAAATTCTATAATGTGTATAATTCCACATTCTGTATATTTTCAAAATATTTTATCAATTGCATGTATACACAACTACATTTACTATCATTTATCATCCTTGAGCGAGGAAGGAAATACAAAGTCATATGTAGAACCCAGAAATTACCCCTTTGAGATTACCAGAGTACACTGCAGTAAAATTTACCAGAGCAATTATCAAATTATCCTTTTATTTTAACTATTTTGCTGAAATTCTTTCAAATATGGGTTTCATTCTTTCTTGAGTGTATATACCTTTCTTGGTGGTTCAGTTACCATTTTTAGATGTTATTATACTGTGCTCTATTAATATTAAAACTCTCAAGAACTCTCAGCCTCTACCTAAAAAAATACCAGAAGAGTTTAATGTTTCATGTTTTAATTCTCCTCTCCTGCTGTGAGGCTATTCCTTGTTAGTTTCTACTTCAGTCCATATAGGTGTCTGTGACAGCCTCTATTTCCATCTATAATTTGGTGCTTCTCATGTCATAGGCTCGAAAATCAGGTAACTCAGCTAGTTAGAAATATAATTAAGGTAAGAGTAGAAAGCCTTGGGAATATTAAAGTGTGGTCAGTGCTCTGATGGGAGAAAGAGAAAATACAAAGCAGAGGATGGCAGTGGCTCCTGCTTCGGGTCGGTCACCAAGCCTTTTCATAGAGAGCATTTCTAAGCTGACCCCCATAAAATGAGCACCATTTTCCCAGGTGAAAGGTAGAAGAGATGGACATGTGTGACTTGAGTCAAAGGGAACAGTCTGGGGAAGGCCTATTAGGCAAGACAGTACAAGAAGTCTGGGAAATTGAAAGTAATGTAATTAACAATTTAATAATCATTAATATAATAATCAAAGTAAGAGACAATGGTGGTTTGAAACTTTTCTATCTCTCACATCATTTAGGGGCAGAATTGAGCAGACTTGTTTGTGAGATGTGGGAGGAAAAAAGAGATAAAAAGAGCCATTCAAAGATGTTCCTTGGGTTCCCTGCCTGCATAATTACATGGAGAGTATTTTTTAAAAAACAAATATTTTGTTATTTGTTTTCTGGTTGTTTTGTTGGTCCTCCTTTTCTTTCTGCCTTCCTCTCTGCCTTCCTCTGTGTAAAAGTGATTTTCTTTGGTAGTATGTTTTAACGTCTTGCTTTTTATTTTTTATGTATCTATCACAGGTTTTTGTTTTGTGGCTACCATGTGGCTTGCAAATAACACAAACAAACAATACCTCTGAGAGATGATTTGAAAGGCTTTTTGAATAAAACAAATGAGGTTTAGTGCACAGATTCTGTACCATTTATGTTTATTACTTAGGGCTTTTGTTGTTGACGGGGTTTTCTTGATTTCCATCCTTGTTCAAATAGGTCATATTGTGAGAAAGCTATATTCTCAGAAGTGAGATGTTACGTGCTTAATGAGTTGACTTTTTTTGGACAAACCGAATTTGTTAAATATGTTTTTCTTTAAGGACACTGATTATACTAAAAAAAGAGAAAAAAATCACCCCAAATTATAAGCCATAAATGTGAATGTGCTTATCTACATTTTAAAAAATCTTTTTAGTCCTTTAAGAGATAATTCACCTTAGTCTTATTTTTATTATCAACAACGGTTTTGAATATTAAAAGTAATACAGTTTCATTACAGGTACTTTAGAAAATTTGAGGATTTTAAAGGAAAAAATAAGAGGTATCTATAATGCCATCACTCAGAGGAAATCACTGTTAACATTTTTGTGATTTCCTTTAATTATTTTTATAAGAGTAATAATTCATTCTCTAATTAACCCCCATAATAAATTTATAAGGCAGGTACTACTACTATTATGTCAATTTCACAGAATAGAAATGGAAGGTTAGAAAAGTTAAATAATTTGTACAAAGTTATGTCATGTAACTAATAAGCAAATGGTGGAGCCAAGATTCAAATCTAGTCCATTTTACTCAGACTTTATTTTCAGTCACTATTTAATTAGTTTTCATGTTTTACAAAATTGGAATAATAGAACTGGTTAAAGGTCAAAGATGGGTCTTCTACTCAGTGAGTTCAGTCTAGTAAGGAAGGCAGATGTTAATCAAGCCACAAAAATGTAACTGTATAAATTATAAAATTTGAATTAAAATTAATCAAATTATATGCTAAACAAATATCTCAATGATATAGAAAATGAAATAGTAACTAATGGAATTACTGACTTACCTCAAGTGGAAATTTTTGTCCTTCTAAACTATGTTCTGATCCATCAGATGACATATTGCATTTTCCCCAGTGAAAAGTTATCTTGCTTGCTTTGAATACCATTTCTGAAACACCTCCACTGAGTCGGTAGTCATTAGTGAGATTAATTTCCACTAAAAAAAAAAAAAAAACCAAAACCAAAAAACAATACAATTGCAGCTAAGTTTCTAAAAATCAAATTGTAAATTTCAACTAAATTTCCTTCTATTAATATTTAAGGTACATTAAGAATATTATTTATTTGATAAATTAAAACAATATTAATTCACCATTTTGGAAGCTGAACTTTGTAGCTCTGCACAATATACTTAATACATCTTATGGCATCAAATGTAAACTGAGCTGAAGGCCCCAACTACTTTATGACCGTAAGAGCAGAAGACAGTCAGTCCACCTGTCCTGTTTGGTGTCCTGAGATTGCCATTCCTCAAAAGCTCTACTTCCCTAAGGTATGTGATAGTAGTGAGAAGACAGAGTAAAGGGAGAAGGACATAAGGGTTGAAAGAAGAGAAGTCTTCCGGCCATGCTTCCACCTTCTTCCTTGCAGCCTGTTTCTACTCCTTATCAGGCTGCTGCTTTTGTTTTGTCTCATAACCCCTCCAAGCATCATCCCAGGCTTCATTAAGCTCCAAAACCTGTGTCCCTGGATATGGCAAGGAAAGTGGGAAACCCATTCCTGCTGAGAAGGTGTTTTAGCCATCTCATGTTCGAATCCTGAGTGGCAACCATCAGAATTTTAAACTGCCTTATATAAGTCACATAGCACATATTATCTGACTACATTTTATAATGATTCTCTTGAGAGCCCAACACAAGATTTTGATGTCTCTCAATAATATTTAAAAGGTCTTTGTTCCATTAGATAGAAATCACTGTTGGCATCAGGGACTGAATCCACCATATTGGTCAGCCAGTGAAGGATACAAACTTCCGTTAATAATAACAACAATAATAATAATGACAAATACAATAACAATATTGGTACCGATGACAGATGACATTTATTTACCACTTATAATGTACCATGCACTACATTAATTACTTTATATGTATTAACTACTTGATCCTCACACAAACTTAGGAGGTAGGTACCATTATAATCCCTATTTTATAGATAGAAAAAATGAGTCACAGAAAGGTTAAGTAATTTGCTCGATGTTCCACACCATTGTTGAAGAGCCAGGAGAGAACCCAAGCAGCATAGCTCTAATAATCAAGTCCTTAACCATGCTCCCCTAAGAAATACGAAGCCGAGACTGCAAGCCCTACTGCTTTGTAACATCCTGCAAATTGGTAATGAAAATGTCAAGATTTGGGACAACATACTTTTATCTATT